GTCGGAAACGTCACAAGAAGATTATGGGTTAAAGGACATGACAACATGGATTGTGAAAGAAGAGAGAAGAGAAGAGTGCCTCGCCAGAACTGAGGCGCCATGCGGACAAGGGACGGGATAATGGTGGAGGCGAAAGTAGTGGCGGACAGAATGCAAGATCAAGAGATGGAACAGATAATATACACACGAGAGCCACCGAGGGGAGAAGGGGGTTGAAGGGCATAAAAGGAGAGCTGAAAAATGTGTGAATATAGAGATGTTGGGGGGGGAAAGCGGAAGGAGACGAGAAATGGGAGGGTAGCGAAGAGAAGCCCGGGCGGTGGGAGGGGAGGTCGGCGCGTGCAGAAGCATGGTAAACTTACCAAAACAGAGGAGAGATTCCGAGGAAGGGAATCTCTGTCAAAGAAATTGTAGGGTCGGCCGCCAAAGCCCAACAGACGGGGTGGGCGGACTAGCTTTGATGAGGACATCAGAAATGCTTCGAGGCTCGCGACGGGTGAGGGAGGGCAGTGGGGGGGAAGCTATCGAAAGGTGAGCTCAGGCCAGGATGAGATGCCAGGCTTCCAAAGGGTTTGTACACGTTCCGATATAGCTACAGGAGCTCTGCAATTTCCGTGGAGTAAGGTATGGATGGGAAAGAGAGGGGTGTGAGCGCGTTTTTATGTCTTTGAAGTCCCTCGCCGAGGGGTCGCTAGTCGCCACCTGAGTTTACACAGCTGCAGCCCCGAGGCTTAGGCTTTCTCTAGTTACATGCATTCTTTACTTGATATCTAACCGTGTATATGTCTAGTCCGTGCATCGCCTTGTGCGCAGCTTGTTCTCGGACAGCCCATTGCTCTTTCAGCCGTGTAGAAAGTGGCGTTGGACACTCCGTGTTCTACTATTATACTCCAAGTGCCGCGTGAAACTGAAAACAAAGGAATACCGATAGAGGTCAACAAAAACTGGGATGAAAATGGTGTGTGGGGTAGCCTCGCGCCGAAGTTTGTTTTGCGTCGTACGGGAGATAAATTCTACCACAACGTTTATGCACACGGGGCTCAACCTCCCCTTCCATCCTTATTCCGATATCGTTCTCCGCATCCCACCCTTATGGTACACATCTACACTTCACCAAAATTCTACTCCATATTCTATTTATGTCTCGCCATAACAACGAGTAATCCATCCTCGGCATTTCGTGCGCCGAGTTTTTCCCTCCGTCTCGTCTTTGTTGGGCCCCCGCCTGGTCTTCCTCCCATCACATCACCACCGTCGTCGCCTTCGCAAGCCCTGCAGGAGCAGTCGGCAACAAGGATGAGTGGTGGTCGACAATCATCCATTTTTCCCCCTCTTTCCGGTACACAAACGAATACCGTGCGTGCTTCTGCACCTCACGGCCGTCCGGGCCCCGCCACGCAAAGACGTAGTACCCGTCGTTGATGGCTGTCTCTCCTTCATTTCCCGTTCCGAATATCCTTACGTAAGGTTGATAGGCTGCCACCCTCAATCCAGGGAGTGCGGCAAAAAAATCAAAATACGACCGAATTTCCGCGGGATTGACCCGAAGTTCCTCCGAAACCGTTCCCCACAACACGGCGTCCGAAGCATACAAGGCGGCCGTTTCCGCCGAAGCCGTTGCGCGGTTCGAGGTGACCGTCTGAAGCCATTTTTGAGTAGTTTGCAGGACTTCCTGCTTGACCCGCTCGTCCACGCCTGACGCACTGCGTGGCCGAGGTTCGACCATGGATCCCATCGCGACGTTTTTGTATCTGCCAGGAGTCTTGTCTACAGCTGCCACACCAGCCGGTGCAATGGCCATCGCACCAGAAGGAGCAGCGATGTTGAGAGCACCGCCTAAAAAAAGCGGGGGGAGGAAAAGTACCCCTCGGGCAAACTTTTTGACGAGACTGCGACGCGTGGAGCCGGGCGGGGCCGCTCGTGAGGCCGTCTGTTGCAGTGCATGTAAAACAGGCCTGATCTTGCCGAGCCGGGTGGCCTTCTCACGACGTCTCTTTTTCGTTTGAACATGACTATTGCTGGTGAGGGTGCCAGTGTCTGTGCTGGCGGTGGTCGAGGCCACGGCGGTTCGCGGGGACCGCGTTACACTGATAGGAAGGACAGGGAGGTGATGTAGGCAAGCGCGTCG